GGCTATGCCACGCCATCTTTGCTCGTCAGCCTCTCCCTTACCGAGCAGAAAGTGGCGTTTGTACCAATTCTTAGGCTTTGAAAGGGCGTGGCCACCCATGTTGAAACAGTGCAGACAAGGAAAGACATTAAGGATAAAAGGGTAAAGTCTTAGCCGTTGATCAATCAAGACATGATGGGGCAAAGTCGCGTTCTCGCTCTGCACTCTCTAACTTTTCCCGAAAATCTTACCAGAGCTGTGCCGAAAGAAGCCAGCTGAGCTATAAAATGGCACTGCTATTCGAAGCCTAACCACCCCGTTCAGGTCACCAAGGAACTGCACGCTGCCGATGAGCGCGCCAACCGCGCTTTGGCTGACGCTGCTCGCGCTGTTGAACAATTGCACGAGGAACAGGAACATTCCATGAAGATCGACGCCCTCCGCAAGTCTCTCGAGGAACAGGTATGCTTCTGAACCGTTTAGAATCATTTTGAAACCGTCAATGGTAACGTAGGGGCAGGATAGCAGTACAGTACTAATCTACTTGGTCGTTTCAGGTGAAGCAACTCCAAGTCCAGATCCAGGAAGCCGAAGCAGCCGCTCTTCTCGGTGGAAAGCGTGTCATTGCCAAGCTCGAAACCCGTATTCGAGACCTCGAGACCGCTCTGGATGAGGAGACCCGCAGGTAGGATAACTCAGCATATGAGAGGATGTCAGTGAGTCCAAGGAACGATCGATATGCTTGTAATCTTCCAGACACAAGGAGACCCAGAATGCCCTTCGCAAGAAGGACCGCCGCATCAAGGAAGTCCAGCAGTTGGTGGACGAAGAGCACAAGAACTTCGTCATGGCTCAGGATACCGCCGACCGTCTCCAGGAGAAGTTGAACATCCAGAAGAGGCAACTTGCCGAGGCCGTAAGTATCTTCTTACCTTTCAGGGCACTTTATTATTCAGCCAGCAATCACGGAATCCATTTTGCAGGAGTCCGTTACGATGGCCAACCTGCAGAGAGTGAGACGATACCAGCACGAGCTCGAAGATGCCGAAGGCCGTGCCGATCAGGCCGAATCCAGCCTGCACCTGATCCGCGCCAAGCACCGCTCATCTGTTGTTACCGGAAAGGCCGGAGCTAGCAAGGTCTATTTGACTTCGAATTTGGCACAGCAGCGCTAAATGTCCTTGTTGGTGGCAGGGCCTCTCATTGCTCATATACGGGCCGCAGTCAGCTTGAGTGTGCTTAGGAAATTGATATTGATTGACGGGCAGAGACTCCCAGTTTTTTTGGCTCCTATCTATCTATCGGCTACTAGATCATATCTAGGATATGCCGCGCAAGTTAACTTCAATTTATGATTACAAGAACTTCTGGAACTGTTTCCCTTTTACGTAGCCTGTTTCGGCGCGCGGAAGAGTTTTCAATCCTGAGATAACCCTAATCGGTTCTTGATGGATAAGCCTAAGGCGCTTATTCTGCTGAGGCGATTTCCTCCACTCGATTTCTGGGCGGTTGGGCGGCACTCGCTAGGCGGTGCTTTCACGCCCGTAGGGTCCTACTAAGTCGCTTTGAGCGCACTTTCTTCCACGCTTTTCCTTCTTTTTCCATCGAACACGCGTCCCTGACCGCCTTCTTAGAGACTTGGCTTCTCATTCTCCTAGACTCAATCGGGTTATGCACCTACTATAGAAAGACAGGCGGTACCACTAATATAGTACCCACAAAAATTGCGCGTGACATTAAGTGTATCGGTCCTGTGAACGCACAGAACTGGGCATACAGTAAGCCAGGTATAGCTACCGAATTTTGGGGTACTTCCAATAGCCAGTGCCTACGCCTTTTGCAATACGCCTCTTGCACTGACTGGAAGCTACGGGGTGAGGCCAGGAAGTGAGAGCGACGCTAATTCCGCTCCCCACCCGTAGCCAGGTGCCGCGTAGGTGTAAATTGAGGGGTACCTCATGCACGTCCTGGTCCTGAACAACTAATTCTACGCGCAGTCTTGGGTACTGTATCCCGCCTGTTTCCGCAAACTGCTAATTCATTTCCAATCACATCCTAGAAAGGACTTCTTTGACAGTTCCAGCTGTCCATCGATTAGCGAACAGTCGCGCGAACTTGTCGCGAAGTAAAAACGCTGCCAAAGAGCTGCTTCTTTCAGGTTTACGTGATGGAGGACGACTTCTAAACACTGCACTTTCAACAGCTACAAGACCATCGCGTCCGACCGTCATCATCATGATCAATTCAGACGCATTCAATCCATTCACCGCGATGTTCTGCTCAGTTAGTGGGCGGTCATCGTCAACGTCGTCAATGTCTTTGCTCTCTTGTATATTGTTGGATGTTGTAGTGCTTATAGTGTGTGCGCGCATGGCCCGCCTATGTGTCTTCATCTTCTTCATCATTTGTGCAAAACAAAACAAAAAAATGAGAAAACCATGAGGAATTTCGCTCCCCTGCCGTTCATCTCTCTGTCTCTTTCTTTCTCTCAGACTCGATCGACCCTGTTATATCCGCGATTGGCGCTTTTTTTTGCGGTGACGAGTTCATACTCATACTCTCTCACTCTTTTCCTCTCTCCTCTCACTCACATTTTTCCTACCGTACCACCACGAGAGGTATAAAAGCGATTTTCTTTCTACCATAACCATAAGTCTTTTGTTCTTCCACTACAGTGTGCTATCATTCTCAGCCAACACTCACTAAGCACCATCATTAATCCTGCACCCCCCCCACCTCCCTTCACTCGCCTCGTCCCAATGTTATGTATTTCGCGCAGATATCATCATCGCCATCATCATCATTATATGAAAGGAAAGGGATTCTTTGATATGAAAATTGCCTTATACCCCCGTTTAGCTACAATTCTTTCTTTCTCACTCTCTGCCTTATGAAGTGTTGAACGAGTAAATGAAAATTATGTGAATTGTGGTGTAAACTCAGCAGTGATACGGTGAAGTCCGATCCAGGGTCATACCACAAAGCAAAATAGCACGTGAAGGTCATAGTTATTGATTTCTGTCGCAGGTCTTGGCGATAACGCGCGACGACAGGTCTGGCCAGATGCTTGGAAAGACAAAGGATTCAGCTTGAAAGAATTGTTTTGCAGCATCAGGCCTTCCACTGCCAAAGTAGCGCATCAAAGTAGGGCGATAGGTATGGATCTTTAGGTCTACATAACACGTGAACGTTGCGGGTCAGGAAAACGGAGTTGCGGCGACGCGCGCGGCACTTCCTAATCAGTTGCATTGACCTCCTACAGCTCTTCTGCATCAGTCCAACTAAGATCTGATGCCACTGCCGTGCAGGCATTCCAGCAATTTGAGCCCCTCACCTCAACCTTGCGTCGACACAGTACGTAGACATTGAGCGTGCGGTTGCAAAGCGGTCAGCCTTGAAGGACTCGTTCCGTGAATTGAAGTGAAATAAGTGACTGTCATACTTCCTGCGCTGGAGCGAGAAAGGTTCAGAGGAATCATCAACGACTATGTTCAGGGCGAACCATCGCGACCGATACCTATTCCCTCCCCTGTTGTGGAGCTTCGAGTGACGTTTTCAACATCGTATACTTCCTAGGACAGCAACGCCACCACGCGTCTGTGGTGGTTCACGTTTAGTGATTGCTCTGTCTCGACAGTTTACCGGATACACCTTGTGGCGCTCATATCAGCATGCCTTAGTGGCATTCCTGTGACAGTGTGCTTATTCTTTAAGACCACACGAAAGGCCCTTTCGATGTGGAAACAAATGCCTCAGATAAGTTTTAGAAGGTTTCAGGGCCGCGAGGCAAACAGGACAACCGCAATTCGTAACGTCGTCGCGCGCGGCATATCGAGCGGCACTGTGCTTCAAGTCCTTGAGATGCATCGGTATGTCAACTGGAGCAGCGAAACATTTATTAATTCAAGCGGAGAAGATTAGGACTTTTATGATCGGCGAATATGGTATTTTCCCATCCCAGATTCAAAAGGCAAGGAGGACAACTCGTCTATCAGGCATTGCTCGCCACGCCCACCAGCGCGGCATATTAAGATGTTTTGTCACATACCAGGTCAACATAAAGGGCTATACTTCGCGAGCGGAGGCAGGCTGGCCCTTGTGAAGCGGCTATTGCAGGTGCGACCAATCCAACGAAACTTGGTGGAGTTACAATGAAGATAAGAAGCGTTTTATCGAATAAGCACTATAAAAGGGATATGTTGTGTGTTTCGGTATTCATTTCTACTTTTACTTTCGTACTAACCAGTTACCACAATATGCGATATTCGCCGCGAGTTCCTGTGGCAAGAACTCCGACTACTTCACGATACTCACGCGTTTATGTGGAACCCAGCACTAAACGGTGAGTCCTTCCAGAAATATGAATGAGGCTATGGGCTATAGGTGGCATAGGAGCGAGTGGAACTCATAGGTATTGATTTCTGAAGGTGGTTACTGCCGATGTCATTTTTTTGAAATTTTGGACATTGGAAAGGCTGCAAAGGGGCGTCTGGCCTTACCCATTCAGCCCTTCCACCAATAACGTTGGCAGTAACCGCCCGCCCCCTCCATCACCGCCTTCAAGGGGTTCTTTGGGGAGAATGATGATGCTGTAATGAAGAGATAAGGATTCGTGCATGTGCTTAGGAGGGAGAGTTCTACGGTATGGTATGTGAGCCGCTTTCCTTGTACATGGAAAGGATCTCGTATTACGGTAATCCCAGTGTTTGTAGGAAGAAGTGCTTCGGGATGCCTCCTTCGTTGCTCTACTTGCTTCCAGCACTACACTTAGTCGTATTTCCGGCTTCAAAGGGCAGTTGGCACGATGGTTTCCTACTTGGCCTAAAATGCTAGTAGGGCGCTGTATAGTGGGGAAATGGCGAAAGAACGGAGTGAAACGGTCAAAATCCTGCGAAGAAAAAGCCTCCGTTCTCAGTGACTTGAAAATCGATTTCGGACGAGTTTTCCCGTAGGCATCTTAGATGGCACATCCTTGAATGATTTGGTCTAAAGCGTTAGATGAAAAAGAAAAACGTTGATGTGGTTTATTTTGATTTTAGCAAGGCATTTGACAGGTTGCCACATGACGTTCTCATCCGTAAACTAAACCATTATGGAGTCTCCCCCTTAGTGGTCAATTGGATTAAGAACTTTCTTGAATATAGGACATTTCAAGTTCAGGTGGGGGAAGCTGTTTCTAAAGTGCGGTGGGCTTGCAGTGGAGTACCACAGGGAGGGGTCCTCTCTCCAGTATTATTCAACATTTTCACTGCTGATCTTCCTCATCTGCTTCAAGGTCTTGGAGTTACCTGTAACATCTATGCCGATGATATCAAAATTTACAAGGTTGTTACGGACTCAGAATGTGACCCGTCACTTCAGCTCGCAATAGACAGGATTGTAAATTGGGCTGACAGCAACGGCCTTCTCTTGTCATCGGAAAAAACACAAGTCATGCGTTTGGGGGCTCACACACGCGAACCACAGTACTCTGCCGATAAAGCTGCGTTGAAGACGGTGGCGGAAGTTAGGGATCTCGGATTCCACTATGACAGTAAACTAAGTTTCAGAAAGCACTTTAAAATATTGGTGGTTAAAGGTATGCGCAGAACGTTCAACTTATTCAAAGCCCTACGGACAAAGGATCCAGGCATTTTGTTACGTTCCTATAAGCTTTACGTTCGCCCTATCCTGGAATGTGGTACAACGGTATTTAACCCCTACACCAAAAAAGATATTATAATGCTTAGATGTACGGGCTTAAACTACTTAGATATACCTAGAGGTTTTGTTAGGAATACGACGTACGGGCTTAAATCTCTCGAGTGGAGGAGGAAGAGATATGATTTACTGATGGCTTACAAAATATTAAATGGCTTAGTGAAATTGGACGTTGAACAGTTTTCCAAGTACTGTCTACTAATACAAGGGGAGTTAGTATCAGACTTAGTGCCACGTTTGCTAGGACTCAGTACAGGTCAAGGTTTTTTAGTAATAGAACTTGTACCAACTTCAATTCGCTCTTACGTTCGAATGTGTTCCCTTTGAAGTATGCTACTTTCAAGAGGCGGGTCGGTGATTTCATTTGAAGAGTTGTAGTTTCTATCTGCATATGTGAGCGTAGAAGCACATAAGCGGTTTTTATCTGAGCTGGTTTTTTCTGTTTTTGTGTGTTGTTTTTTTTTAACATTTAGATTGTCCTGTTTTATGTTCTATGTGCTATTGCACGTCCAATAAATAAATAAATAAATCTTGCCAATCACCGCTACCGAAGATACGGCTGCATTGCACCCATGTATGCATGCAGCATCACGGCCTCTTCATACCAACCCCTTCCCTTCATAATTTGCTTAAATGAATGAATACGAGAGTCAGGAACGGTCGTCTCCATTTTGTGGGCGGCGAAGGGCGTGCGCCGGCTGCGTTTGGGGTCTTAATCTGTGTGGTTGATAGGCCCTTATATAAATACACCTTTCCTTGAGGAGCCGCTATATTACATTGGACGTTGAACCCAGACATAATGGTCATAACTATGGTCATGGCTACATTACTGCTGCCTGTATTGAATGTCAGAGTGTTCAAACGGCTGGTAGAACGAAGAACAAACGAAGAGGAACGGTCGAAAACCAACGAGTTGCGCCCCTGTTTACCCCGAGTGGTGCGGACCTCCGGCTGGCATCATGCCACCGCCGCCCTGATCTACGCTTCACATCCGCATATGAGCTGGGCCGCGGTTCTGCGTGCTTTTCGTTCGATCCCCCTGTCGGCACTAGAATGCGTTTTTTCGGGGACATTGTTTGAGAAAAACGGCATACTTTTTTGTGCTGGGCAGAAACGTGACTACAATTACTTTAAAATGGCAGCATCTTGTAAAGTGTAGAGCCGCTGCCAAGGGTACCCGGCCACGCCCACTTCATCTCCGGGATATGGAGTGTAGATACGACTAAATATCCACATGCATAAAAAATACAGCCGCGCAATCCAAAACGCGTCTCATAAATGAAACGATAAGAGTATCATTATGGCTGTGTCGATACTGTCATTTGAAGGCGGGGCTTTTGACTAAAAGGGTCTCTTAAGTCTCTTTGAGAGCGCTCTTCTGCAAGAGCAACTTCACATATCGCCAGCTCAGGCAGGTGACATCCTTTTCTGCTAAGCGCTTCAGCCCTTCAAGTGCAGTCACATTAATCAGCGTCGCTCTCCCAGAGATTTCTCCCTCCCCCACCCCCCCCCCTCCCCACTTCCTGCCTGACGACCGCCTCCGGCTGGACGAAGTGCTCCCAGCTGCAAACCAACCATATCCTCCCTATTCTAGGGGACCTATTTCGCATCCAGTTCTTTCCACAAATATCAGTTTAAGGGAAAACTGAGATTTGTGGAAAGAACTAGGGGAGGGTATCTTGAAAAGGAAAATCAGGTTATAATACCCGGATGTTCAGGGCATCGCCTGTTGAACGACGTATTCATGAAAAACGATTACTAGCTAAAATAGTTGAAACAAGAAAACGAAGACTAGAATTAGAAGTACGTCCTACTCTAAAAGTCTCCAGTACTGAGAAAAATCCTTATCCAAATTGCTTGTAGGAAATTTACAAACTTTATATAAAATACATAAGAGCTATGGAAAACGAACTCCGCATTCAAGAGAGAGAAATGCAGAAAGTGAGTGCTGTATTTATCACCTCCTTACTGAGCAATAGGCTTTAACAACCTAATAAAGCCAACTATTAAAGCTTTATGAGTTACTGAGCATGTTATGTGCTGTGCGCCGGTTGTATCTGACAATTTAAGGCAAGCCGCGACGCGACCTCACGCGGAACTGGGGTAGTCTTCTTACTGAGGGTCATTACATAGCTTAAACGTGAGAGTTTGTAAGAAAAAGTGCCTGAATCACAGTGTTTTCATCTACGCCAACGTTTTTCTACACTTCCATCAGGGCCCCTCTCAGAAAGGACAGGAAGGGCCCTTTTCGGGGCCCTTGCACTGATGTGGACTCACAGGAAAGCCCACATCAGTGCAAGGGCCCCAAAAAGGGTGGTCATTATGTTCGCGTAGTCGAAATTACACGGCCTACGACTGGTACATCTAACTAGTATCGTTCCGAAATCGGAAAACGGCCCAAGAGGATACTCATAGGGGCGAGGCAAAAGGGGGGGGGGTAGTTCGATACGGACCCTGCCGACGCCCCGCTCCTTTTTCAATG